TAATTTTGAATAAATAACTTTGTTCGGATAAAATTTAAACTCAGTTACGTAACTCTTTTTTAGGGATTTACTAGGGAGGTTAGAGTTTTAATTCGGGATTGTTACGCTTACACAAGTGCTTGCATGATAAATAGTAAATCAAAATTATGTGTTGCGGCTGAAGATGAAATTAGGGATCTCAATTTAAAAATAAACCTTACAAAGAACCATTTATATTCTTTTATTATCAAAACTGATCCTAAATCCTAACGGTAAAAAAAAAAGCGTCCCAAGATTTCCAACTTTGTTAGTTTTCAGCTTCAGCCGCGACATTATGAATATAAATTACTAAATATTTTCTAACAGAATTAATAATTGTTTAGTATATCATTTAAAGTTATAAATTTTATCTATTAATATCAAACTCAACTTCTTTACTTTGATAATTATAATGCACTAAAATTTTTAATTCATAATTAATTTTTAATAAGTATACTCGTATGTATTCTCATTATATTTTTGTCTTTTATTTTTATAATGAAAATCTATTATAAAATTTCATATTAACATCATTATCATATATTAAAATTTTATTTTATTATTCTACATACCATTGTAAGCAAAATTATTTTCGTAAAGTTGATGCTTTTTTAGAATATTAAGATTAGAACATGAGAGAGGTGCTGATTCTTGTTGATAATAGTACAAAATTTGTTTGCCGCATAGAGAACTCAAGTCCATTTTCGATAATTGTCTATTCTGGATTGGTGTTTTTATTTCATCATTTCTATTCGTGCTATTATTTAATTACCACAAAAAAGTAAGTATATATGTAATGGATATTAAATCATCAAAAAGCATAAGAAAAATTAGAATAAAAAATCGTTTATTATACTTTTTGTTGTCTATAAAATTGAATGAAGCTTCTAAAAGATGGTTCATAAAAAGGTTATTTTTAACAGTTTATAAAATAAAAATAAAAAATAAATTATTTATAGTACCAGTTTTCATGTTGTTTATTGAGTAGATCTCTGATAAAATGGAATAACCTATTTATATGTTTATAAATAAGTAAAATAGTATACATTAAATTATGAAAAAAGAAAGCCAAAGTAGTAATTTTAGAACACATACTTGTAAGCGTACTATAGTTTAATTTCATCCGGAGAGCAGTGTTAACTAAGGAACTAAGTGATCTACTAGTATATATTGCCTGTGGGTTTACTTCTTTTATAGGCCTGTGTATTACATTTTCTGGGAATTTTATTACTTTTCCAGCTAATTTTGATTCAATACTCCCAATAGATGTTATAATATCTGCAGCATTTGGTCTGTTTAATGGATTCGCGTCCCAACATTTTTCCATTAAATCAATATAAGGCTGTGGTAAATTGTTAATTAATTCGGGACGAAGACCATTAAGAATATCAAGAATAAGATATTCATCATGAATATGATCAGAAAATGGCTTTTGGCCAGTTGTCATTAGTGATGCCTGACGAAACCATGTGATGCTAATTGTCACATGCCATTACTTATAAAAAAAACTAAATAGATTGTT